TCAGTCTGAGTTTCCCGCCCCTCTGTCTCATTGGGAGCGGTCAGTCTGAGCTTCTTACCCCTCTATCTCATTGGGAGGGTTCAGTCTGAGTTTCCCGCCCCTCTGTCTCATTGGGAGCGGTCAGTCTGAGCTTCTTACCCCTCTATCTCATTGGGAGGGTTCAGTCTGAGTTTCCCGCCCCTCTGTCTCATTGGGAGCGGTCAGTCTGAGCTTCTTACCCCTCTATCTCATTGGGAGGGTTCAGTCTGAGTTTCCCGTCCCTCTAGCTCATCGGGAGGGGTCAGTCTGAGCTTCCCACCGCTCTATCTCATTGGGAGGGGTCAGTCTGAGTTTCCCACCCCTCTATCTCATCGAAAGGGGTCAGTGAGTTTCCCTGCCCTCCACCACCTCAAAGCAATTTTATCCACGCTTTCCTACCCTCTTGTTTCTGCAGTGCGATCCAGCACCGGTCTGAGCAGTGGGCATGACTTGGAGGAGCTGCTGCGTGAGGCTAGCCTGGAGATGGGCAGGGAGGCGCCGTGATGCCCCGCTGGGTATGGAGGTAGTTACACTGCACAACTCTTTCATTCCTGCAAATGAGTATGCGAAGTTCCTCGAAATGTCTCATACTCAGTGTCTGTATTGGATTAATGACATGTTACTGACGTGATTTAAGTAAACTTTAAACGACTTTTTTTCTAGTCGGACAAACCCGTATAGAGAATGGTCTATCTGTCTAATCTATCTATTACTTATTTGTACCTATTTTTACTGTTGGTTTTTACACACTAGTCTGCAGCTGCAGGGAATAACCAGCAATGTATCGCTTTTGGAAGCCTTTACACACCCAGAGCTCTTGATTACTGCTTTCCGGGTCTCACTTCATGAACTTAACTAAAGCTGATTAACTGAAGGATTCCTTGTTTCACTGAGGCTGTTATTTAGGCAAAGCTTCTTGTATCAGCCTGGCGTTTTGCTGAAGTTGTCAATCTCGTCATTTTCTGCCTATTATGCCAGTTGCTGTACACATCCTCATTCCGTCTTCTCTGTTCTTTCCCTAGGGGGGGGGGGGGGGTCCTTCACAGTTGAGGAATAAAAAGTTGTCCTCACGACTTGACCGCTCAAGTTGTGCCTCCTTTTCCTCTTCCTCTGTCCCCCCAGAAGCCCCGACACGTTCTACTCTAAAAACTGAAAGTGCTAAAGATTTTATTCAAAAAATAATAATAATAATGACAAGAAATAGTTAAAAAGGAAAACGCAACAAAACAGTCAAGCCA